CTATTACTCTGTTTCTCTCCGTCACGTCCCTAGCATTGGCCCTTTTCTTTGCCTCCGGCAGCGATACCGTCCTTAACCTTTCAAGATCGAGGCAAAACCGTAGAAGGGAGCAGAGAAAACATCACACGAAAGAATGATAAACACACAGTATCGTAAGAGAAACTAACGAGAAGATAAGTTGAGCAGACTTACTCCGGCGAATGGTGTAGTCAGGTCGATTTTTCTTCTGTCCGCGGGTGTATCCTCCACGAGCAGGTCACTAACTAGCCTGTACACATCACCCATGACTCGTGCGACGAGCGCGAGCAAACAAACAAATATAACTTTTCTCTCTTCCTCTTTCTCTATCTCGCTTTTCGTAACACTTGGCTCTTTCACACCGAACACACAAATAATTAGGCAACGAACAAGAAACCGCAAGAAATCACGCGTGATAGGATAATAGTCAATGTAGTAGATACGGTGAACACGTTAAAAATCATCGCGTCGCATTCGCGGATTTGTCGAAACGTCGTATGAGCGGCCCACGATCATGTGGGGTCTCTCTCTCGTTCCTCGAGACGTTGCCGGTTCTCTATTATCTTCTTTCTTTCTCGTCCACTTCGTACCAACAACAACAACTTTCCCCTTCTTACGAGTCGAGTTCGCACGCGTACATACGATTATTACACACGATCATCGAAACGAACCGTGTCAATGTCACTTGTATTTTTTTCCCTTCACGCGATACCGCTACGAGAACGTGTAACGCCGCAACAACGATGAAAATCACATCCGCCCCGTCCAGGCACACAGGGCGAACTGTCGTTTGGTCGCCGCTCTACGACCCGCAGCGACGTACCGAGAGAACAACGTAAAGCGAAACTCGATGGCGCCACGGCTGTACGGAGTCTGTGCCGTGAGTTCGCTCAGGCCCGACTGTGGCTCCGCTACCGGCCGATCTTCACACTACTCTCCCGCCACACATTCGGCCGCCTCTCACCAATACGACCGCGTCGAGTTATTCAGTAGCGTACATACACGCGGGCACTCGACTTACATACACAGACGAGCCGTTCCTCTAGCGATGGTGTGCACGTATACACGATTTCGCGAAGTGGCGTTGGACAAGTGTGGCGTGGTTGAGGTGTAGAGAGGTTTAGGTGGGAGGGGGTGAGTTGGTAGTTACCCCCACACGAAGAGTGTTCCAGGGTCGGCGCAACCGCAATTCGTCGATTGCAACGACTGATTGTGAACGCGATTTAACGGAAGTCGAGCGAGCTGTCTACTTTTAAAACGTGCCCCGATACTACGGAGTTATGTATAGCCGCCGCCTAAATTGCTTTGTCCGAACGATTTACATTCTTTTCATGTAAATGAGTTTACGCGATTCGTTCGCGATGCATTCACGCGGGCTACCGTTGTAACGTCACGTCAAGCGTTCCTTTTTATCCTTTCAATTGAAATTACTGTACGGCAAAGTGAAAGGTTATATATATGTACGTATAAAAGGTAATGGGTGAGCCAAGCTATTCGGCTACGTTTTAAAATGTGAAGACCAGAAAATTCGCGCGACTTAAACGGCCCTGAAACTCTCTCGAGAGCTCACGTCACGAGAATCGCGAGCTGCCCCTTTTTCTCCACGGTGCACGGAGTAGCGCGTATGCACGGAGTTAATTAGTAGTGACACATAAGCGATGACGGTAATCAGAATAAAATGAAAGGAGAGGATCGAACGGTCGGAGGAGCGGTCGGAATTAGCGCCGGGACGAGTTACAGTTTGCGACGGGTAACGAACGAACGCTAGGTGAAACGCGCCGCGCTGTCCGATCTGTGTGGGCTCATCAAAATTCAAAGCAGCCTCGTTACAACTTCCGAAATTACGAATGCACCTTTGTCCTACAAAAGTTGCAAAATCACCCCCTGGGTTAAGCACTCGAGGCTAGAGGCGGAGGAGGACTCGTGCATTCTCCTGTACGACTGTCACTGCGATTAGTAACTAACAACATTCTCGTTTGTGCATTAATAGCACGTACACGGAGAGAGGAAGAGCAACAAAAGAGGGGCCAGAGTTAGGAGTGAAACACAGACGGTAAATGTTAGTTAGATGTGAAACGAAGAACAAAGTAACACCTGACAGCGTTGTAAATTAATTAACGAAACCCAGCGAATACGGAGGGATTTCTAAATCCGACGTTAAAACCCCCCGGTTTTCCGCAATATTCGACGATAGAATAGAATAGATTTACGAGTTGCTCGGTAGATTTACACACCGGTGTGATCCGGACAGTTATAGCTGAAATCGTAGAGAACTGTAAAATACTGTGGTTATTTGTGCAACCGTGCATTTTCGCGCGATTTTTGCCTCCGGACCTCTCTCTCTCTCTCTCTCTCTCTCTCTCTCTCTCTCTCTCTCTCCCTGTATACGATTCTTTTTCACCGAAGCCCTCAAAGGTTCGAGGAGGTATATATGTCTACAGACGATAGCACCCGGGGATCGGTTCTGCTAGGCAACTCTCGGCCACCTCCACCGCCCTCCAGCGTATCTCGGCCCCTTTCCTCTTTCGTCTTAACCCTCCGGCCACATCATCGCTGTTCCTCCTCTTGCTTGCAGCCCCTAGCCATCCAACACCAAGGCTACGCGCGGCCGCTATCCAATGCTAGCCAGGCTTGCCTAGCTAAGTCGCCAAAAGCTTCGACTCCCCGTGGAATTCAGCTTCCGTCATGCCAGAGACCGGGCGTATTGCATGGCATCCCCCAGTGTCGGTGATGCACTTCGATCCGCTGGGATCGAGCCTCGTAAAATTGGATTTGCGCAGACAGTATGGTACTTCGGCGTAACGCGTACCCTTTAGCGAAGAACCAGCCAGCCTACTCATTACAGGAACGGTCTCTGTCGTTACGGTTGCCTCCTGTGCTCGCCGTTTCTGTGATCATGGTGCGCCGTTGGTCAATCTTCGATAATATTCCATACGTGAATTATGGAAATCAGATTGTCCAGATTGTTTGGGAT